AATGCATGCAAATCAAACACATCATTCACACATGCACCTCTAGGGTAATCTCACTTGTTGCCTATCGGAAAATAGTCATGTCCCTCGAACATGGGCGTTTTAGCAAAGACCCTCGATAAAAGATCGTAGTCCCTCGATGACCCTTGATGTTGCCTTCGGTAAACGATCTAGTCCCTAAAACGACATTGCTAAAACGACTCATAAGTTGCTTTCTATGACTATACAAACGTCCCATACTCGTCCCTTCACATCCAACGATGGGGCTTCTTACCAAATCAATGGTAAGATAGCCACATCTAAAGGAGGAGGAAAAGCACATTTAAGACCTTTCGAGTAGGTAGATTCGCTCTTAGTTACTCGCTTGCTCACAACAAAAACATTTTTATACACCCGCACTCTCATCTTTGAACTATTTTCGAAACAAACACTTTGTAGGCGTTCTTATAGAAACAAGAACCATTACGAAGTTCCATTTTCAAAATACTTTCAAAAACACATCTCACAAACACACCTTTGAACTATTTTCGAAACAAACACTTTGTAGGCGTTCTTATAGAAACAAGAACCATTACGAAGTTCCATTTTCAAAATACTTTCAAAAACACATCTCACAAACACACTTTTGAACTATTTTCGAAACAAACACTTTGTAGGCATTCTCATAGAAACGAGAACCATTACGAAGTTCCATTTTCAAAATACTTTCAAAAATCACCACCACAAGCACATATTCAAACAAAAGAAAGTGATCTAGCAAGTAACTAAGAGCCCATGGAAAACCATGGATGAAAAGGGTGCTAATACCTTCCCTTTTCATAATCTACCCCCCGAACCCAAAAAACATCTCTAAAGGTCTTTCCTGTGCTTTTTCACCTTTCCTTTTGGATAAAAGAAAATTCGGTGGCGACTCTTGCTAACTGCAACATTTGCGATAAAACACAAAACCCTCAAGTCAGTTCTCCCACCGTATCACAATACGGGACCATGCTTTTAAGATCAAAGACTATCTGCCTTGTTATCAAACCCTGATAAGCGATACATCATCAACTCTGCCTACTTCCTTGAGACTCGTAAGGGTATGCTATATCAGTGTAATCTTATGTTTGTCGGACAAATTTTGGGATACTTCAAGTATTCAATAAACTTCTAATCTGAATGCCAAGACTCGAGTTTTATCACGCTATTCGACTGGAAGATGATTGAATATGGGCAGTTGTCGTACCCCAAATTTGTCCTACGCCGATGATTTTATTTTTTAAGATTTAAATAAAAGAAATATGTAATAAAAGATGGTATAGCAGTATCTGATGGCCTATCTTTACTCAAGACGACCAGGGGGTGTATTTTAACTCGGGAAAATGGGGCTTTCTAAATCAGAAAGACTCATAAACCCATCGCGTAACATGTTGGCCAATGGCCCATGCGATTCGAAAGTAAAAATTATTCGAATACTTATTAAGCTCTTATTTATTAAATAGTTGTTTTTAATAAAGAGAGGGGTGAAACTTCAAGTTACAGGCTCATTCAGTTGGCTCATTTTCGTTTGGTCATTAGATAGTAGAAAGGGGGTGCGCGTAATAGTTCTTTTTAAAATCCCATACAATGGATACGGACTGGGCCCATTTGGAATTTTATGAGAAAATCATTTCTGTTTTATTGTTATTAAGCTTTCATTATAATCTTTTTATAAACTATTAAGAAATTTATTATAATTATTTTATTATTAAAATATTTTATTATTTTTATATAATCATTTTATTAAGAGTCTTTCTTAAAAAAGATATGAGTTTAATGTTGGAAAAAAGGTTGGTTTTTAAAATTCAGGCCTAGTCTGTAGGAAATGTTTGTTGTAACGAAAATTTGTTGCTAGGTAGAAGAAGAATAAAAAATGAAGGCCCAAAGTAAATAAACATATACTATATCAATTAGTGAGCAGAATATGCACATTTTCAGTGGGAACTAGTACTGTACAGATTGAATAAAAATCAAATATTTTTATAATTCAAAACAAAATTACACAGAATCTTGTTATCCAACTCAAAGCCCAGAATTTCTAACATAAAATATATACAAAACTAAAACATTACTAAATCAAATCTGGGAACACAAAATCTATGTTCATCAATATTATAGACAAATTAATTCCAATCTCAAATTACATTCAATCTTCAAAACCAAAATCCAATCAAATATTACAAATTCAAGTATACAGAATCTTTTACAAATCAAATCACAGAGCTATCGAATCAAATTTCTACAAATCAAATCCCAGAAAAATCAATTACATTGAACATTAAATCCCTAATTGATCTAATGATCCTAAATCTAGAGCTAACTGTAAATTGAAACCCTAAATACTAAATTGTATAAATAGAAGAACAGAATACAGAGAAGAGGAGAAGGGTACGAAAAATAAAAAGAAGAAAAAGACAGGAGAAGAAGACCAAGACATTAGCAGTTGCTGTTGAAGAACGAAGAACACGCCGTCTCGCAAAGATTGATGCGATTAGGGTTTCGATATCCAAAACCCTAATCGCTATCCGCTAATTATATCGCCTCCGTCATTAGCCTTCCTTCGCTAGCTCTCTTTACCGGAATCTGCAACCAAAGAAGACGGAGGGATTAGCTTCAACTAAAAAGCTCAAAGATCAGAGAACAAGCGAATCGCGACAGGGTAAAGAGACTCAGCTTTTTGTTTTTGTTGTTGTTGTTATATCTGGGTTTTGTTGGGTAGGTTGAAAATAGAGGGGAAGGGGTACCGGGTGGGATGGTTGCGCCACCGCCGGTGGTTTTAGGGTTAGGGTTGAGAAGATGAAGATTGAGTGAACGAGAAAGAAGGTGAAACTATTGCTGTAAAAACAAAAAATGGTTTGTGAATAATATGAAAACAGGGTTATATCCCGTTAGGATCCAATACACGCACACACATAATGGTATCATGCTCCTTCAATTCTGTATCGTGCGATCTCCATCAGACGGCCATAGGCCAAGTCTCACTATAACTCTCATGCGTCTCACAACACCCAATTGGCCAGACCCTTTCAGGCTGCGTATTTTGGGCTTGGCCCAGTTACTTTTAACACCCTCCCTTCATTCGTTTTACTAAGCCAACGCACAATACACCCCCTACCTGGACTCATGTCTGGGCCTGTTTCACATTATTAACCACACCCTCCTGTTTTACTTGTCCATTAGGAATTACACTCCCTGATTTAATTTATTTATTTTCTTTTATAATTCAATTATATATATATATATATATATATATATATATATATATATATATATAATATTATTATTATTATCGAATAGTTTTTTTTATTATTGTTATTTATATTTTGATATTATTATTATATATTGTTATAACTACTTAATTTTTTATTATTATTTATAATTATCATTTATTATTTATAATCCCTTCTTATGTAAATATTATTATTAATATATTTTATTTACTATCTAAATATATTATATGTTTAAATAAATTATCTTTATATTAAAATTGCATATATTATTTTATATATTATTTGCATTAAATTTTTCTCTAATCATGCATTAATCAAGATCTTCGCAAATAATACGATTACAAAACACAAACAAATCATCAAACTATTTTTTCCCAATAAACTAAACTAGTCAATTGTTTTTGTAAAAGGGTTTCAAACTAGTTTTGACTTGCTACGCATTCAGTCAAAATCTCCGCAATCACTACTCCCGACCGAGTGCGAGGTGATTCAAAATATGTTTGCAAATCCCTAAAAAACACCAACATAATACGAACTACGAATTGAGACTCTGATTCCTCGTAAGAGGATACGTAGGCATACGATCTAAAATCGTAGCGAGTCCTCTTAATCAAATCTTAAAATCATGTTTACCCCAAACCTAAACCTAGAGCCTAGTATCCTTGTGAACAAGGTAGATGAAAGGTGCCTAACACCTTCCTTTCGTCTAATTGAGTCTGAAACCTAGAATCTCTATCTACGAATTAGGGTTTTCTGTTAGATTCCCTTCCCTAGGATAAAAACTAATAGTGACGACTCTTGATTTAAAAACTAGTCGCAATAGTTTGTTCCCGCCCGAGAAAACTCAAAGTCTCTCTGGTAGAGAGTTTAAATAACTTGGAAAATTTAAATCCCTCGGGCGAAGTTATATGTAGCCTGACTGATGAGACTACAAGTCTCTCACGTGGGGCGTTGGACCTCTCGGGTGGAACTTATATCAAGCTCTCGGACAAGATTCGAGACTAAGTCTCTTAGACTAGACTTCAGTCGCGCCTCTTGGACGGAATTTCTATGTTTGGTCTTTTCCGATGAAACTCTAAGTCTCTCAAACAGAGAATTTAAATCTCCTTAAAAATCTCACCTGCAAATGCATCCAACGACTCTCCACAATTCATTCTTAACAAATAGTAAATTTGTTATTTCCCTCTATCTATATAGAGAAGACACCAATATAAAATGACGAGTTTCAAATTCAATTTCAGTTCACTCTTTTTCCTCACATAATGATGTAATCATTGAATTTCTAACCTCGTAGATTCCTCAACTCTACTGCATCGGAAATTGTGATCCATCATCACCGCTTCTCAACTCATTTCTAATTCGTGAATGGAACAATATCTATTTTCAGTTAATATTTGTATAGTAAACCGGTAGGTATGACTTTCTCCTCACTCTAATGTCCAACAACACCATTAGGTGTTGAAATTACAATCACCTGATTCACAATTTGCTACAGGCAAGTTAGATTGCCAAAAGGTCCTTTAATATAAATTCTATAGCATGTCACAAAAAACAAATACTTAAAAGCTAAGCAACAAATATAACTAACATCACATCCAATATTACTTATCTTTTATTAATAAAGTCACATAAAAATAGCAGTAGTTCAATTTCAACTCACTTACTAAATCAACATAAAGTTCTTTTTCTCTCACTTTATAAATGTAACGACACAACAACACTAGTCCTTTGCATTGTTCTCTAGTTTACTCATCCATGGCATCGCTCACGGGATTCATCACCGCAATCATAATCACTGTCTCACTCGCCGGTAGCTCTACCGGCAGGGACCTCCGTCCATCCGATCACGGACTCGACTACCAGTCCTCACCGCCGGTCAATTCTCCCCCGGATATGAAATCCTTCTTCAACAGCAACAACTCTTCTTCTTCCTATGCATCTCCATGGAATCTCACAGATTCCGTGCCTCCGGCGTTACCGAGAACCACCGGCAACGGCAGAGGACGGTTGAGAAAAGCGTTAGTAATGGCAAGCTTGGTGTGTGGAATAACAGGTGTCATTTTATTAGTGGTTTCCGTTTTGCTTTTTCGGTTTTGGCACCAAAGAAGAAACTCAGAGCAAAACGATTCGTTTCGTCTTGATGATGATAATTTTAATTTTAATATTAATAATAATGATAATGCTAACAAACATGAGGTGGTGCGGAGTTCGTGAGTTCTTTTCTTTGTTGCTGTTTTTATCTTATGTTCCATTCTTAGGTTGTTTCCTTTTTCTATTAATGTTGTGTTTATTAGTAAAGGTGAAGGGGTCGAGGGTCATTGTGTAAATTCATTGATATACATATATAACAACTATAATGCTTTTTCTTTTGGGTAGTATATTGTATATTATTGGTTGGTATTATTTTGGGTTTTTAATTTTTTTTCATTATTGAGATTCCTTGTTTTAAAATTTGCTGTTGTTGATGTGGTGAGATGACGTTACATTAATTAATTGGACATGAAGTGTTTGTTAGATTAAATAGTATTATGGTTACGTATAAGATGAGTCAATAAAAATTTGGTATAATTATGATTTATGACTAACAAACAATGTATTACAAAATAATAGTAATAGACAAATGTCATGTTACTTGTTGAAATTATTCTCTCCTTAATAAATTAGAAGTAAAATTGATTTTTTTTTAATATTTCATAATATATATATATATATATATATATATATATATATATATATATATATATATATATATATATATATATATATATATATATATATATATATATATATATATATATATATATATATATATATATATAGACTAGTTTATTTACAATATGGTTGTTAGAAAGTGTGTTGACAGTGACACTATTTGAGAGGGTTCTTCTATGGCTTGAGGTGGGCCATGCAAAAACGTAACGGTCTCACTACTTAGAAATATCCTCAATTGTGACCTGTCACAAAGAATAAAGATAGCATATGACTTTCACTAAATGAGGTTTCTTTTTGGTTTTCCCCACCCAGGACATCATAACATCCTTGCATAAAAGATACTTGCACACTAAGGATTGAGGCCAAACATAGGTACTATGTCACTCATGTTTTTGTGATATTCGTATATGAAACTTATTGATAAAATATATGGATGAAAAGTTATTGTTGAAATTTATTTAATAAAGTTTTGGAGGAGATAAATTAACAGGATAAAATACATTTTATTAAAATTAGAATTACAATTGGTATCGATCGTTGACATATGATTTTGGAAATGTAGTGTTGATCTCTAATGTGGTGACTCGGTGTGGTCATGTAATGTTTATTCATCAATGTTCAAGTTAGTTATATGGTTTAATATGAGTGTACTGAAAAATGGAGATTAGAAAAATGTATCTTACTTGTACTGATTGTATACGTTGGATAATTCTGATTGGGCCATAAAAGGTTTCATTTCGTATCGGTCCTTTGGCAGACTCAAAGCAATTGTCTCTAAGACTTATTGGACGTTTGTTAGCCTGAAAGTCTTTTAAAGTCAGTCGACATCTGACTATTGCGTTAGACCATAGTGAGAAGCAAGAAGGTCATGAAGTAGTTATACAAGTAATGCAGAACAAGCGTGTTAAATGCTTCTCCATCATTGAAACGATTCTTCGGTTTTTTAGGCGTTTGGCTTTAGGCTCGTAGTTTAGGACATGGCGCTTTATCCTAAGGCATTCGATGCACTCGAGTTTACTTGTATTCTCAAGGTGAAATATGATCGTTGATTTGTAACTTTCTGTTTTCCATTGATCGGGTTCGTTGCTCACTATCCTCTATATAAAGGTCTCTTGACTTTTGGGAGAACTTTTATCATTCTTGAGAGTCAGTTTTTATTTACAAAAGTAATTTCCTCCCTTATCGGGAGCATTTCTTTAAGCATTTTTCTTTCTAAAAAACAAAGCTTTCCAATCTGCACTTAACGCACCTTCTTCGTTAGATTCCTTCCAAGTACCTTTCTTGCCATGAGCTTGTTTCATAACTTTCAATAATTACTTATCCATGGCTAATATAAATGACGATCCCATAAGCTTTTCTAGTGATTATGAAAGGAGTGATTCTCCCGCTCCAGTTAGGGAAGAAGCATTCTCTAGTTCAAATTATCATCTCATATTTGTATGATATTCAACTCTCGACTACAAGCCTTAAGTCTTTAGAGGGAGAATAACGAAAACAATACCATAATCTCATACAGTATGCTTTTGAACAGACCTCGCTGACGTTGTACAAGCGTTCTTTCAATTCCTAAAATAGTGGAGTTATAAGGAAGATAATCCCTAGTCAACCCCTTTGAGCCAAAGAAGTAGGAGTTTTCTTTTTCACACAAATTGAAACCTTTAATCATAATCTGGGGCAGGGTAGTTTCTCAGTTAATTCAAATGTGCATTCAGTCGCAAGCTTTCACTTCGTACACAACGAATGACATCAAAAATATCCTGCTGAATCAAAAGACGACGATGGTTCCCTGTAAAATAGGTAGTCGTTATCTCTCAAAAGAAAAGCCCACTGAGTCAAAACCTACGAAGGAGACTAAAAAAAACGGGGGCATCCCGCTGACTGTAGTCTTAAAATAAAAATAGTCAGACAAAAATTAGGGATAATAAATCAAAAAGAAGTCGCTACAAATCCTCGACAACGGAAAAATGTTGCAAAAAATGACTGCATTCTCCAATAAACTTAACTTATCTGAACCATCACCAAAATATTATTCCAGGTTCAATAGGAATTCAAACGCACAATTAACTGAGTTTAGGACTGGAGAACATCATAAAGAACGAGTCGGTACAAATAAACTTTGAGCCTTATCCTTTGTTTCTTACACCGTGAACCAGGACACACTACAACCCTTTAAAAGTCCTAATTGAAGCATGGGTTAGTTCGAAAGCATACTGTTACAAAAGGTATCCTGACTCCTGTAACGCTTACTGTAAATCCTGAGTTTGGATTCATATTCTTACAAAATTATTTTATTCGCTAAAAATGCATTTTCATAAACTTCAAGACAAACATAAACTTTGCATTGTTTGAATACCTCTGTTTGCATACAGCTAATTGTTTGACAACGGGAAATTCGCACGACGAATATCCAATGAACGGAAATTCTCTCGATGAACAAATTCACTTCAAATCCAATGACAAACCCTCCATAGTCAAGGCGGCATGACATATTATTGTCCAACTTATCAGTGGCAGTCAAGTCGAGATTCTAAGAAATCTCTTATAAAATCCTGAATAGCCAGGGGCAGGTCTCCATCTGAATCACTTGGGGAATTGAACATGAATTCCAGCAAAGGGTCACACACGACCAAGCAAACATTTTGTTATTTCTACAACACTTGCTATCATAGACAGTGAAAACTCTCCACGCGAACATAGCCAGATAATACTACGTATAAAAGAGACCCGCTAGGTTGACACGCCTAGGCAAAAATAAGGGCATCCCAGCGAACCAAAAGGTTCAGGCAAAAAATTAGGGATATATATATGCAAAAGATTGTACACCCGGAAAGTCGAAAACCTGAAAAGGCGGCTTGGGCAAAAAAATGTATCCCGTTAGACTGAAAATCCGAAAGGACAGTCCAAGCAAAAGTTAGCGATTAAAACGTACGATTATGTCCTGTTATCTCATCATTTTATCTATCAGTAAAAGATTTGTCACTTTGATCAACATTTGCCAAAGGAGAAGACAGAGTTCAAGCTGTCTACAAATCCCCACAAGGCCAATTACATGGATACCCCTATAGAATCACTTCAACAAGATTATCCCCACAGAGACAGATTCATGCAATCCCCAGCCAGAGTTCGAATCTCTTAAAAAAAACCTTCTCCCCAGCTGAGTTAGTCTTAAAAGAAGAAGCCTTATGGATTTATTCCTAAAAAATTCACTTCCCTATTAGGTCGTCAACACGGTTTATTTCCCCAACAAACTGCAAATTCCCTAGCTCGAGTTTACCTCTCAGACTAATATCAAGGGACCAAAACCCCTAATCCCCGGAAAAATCATTACAATCCTCAACGGAGTCGTTACTATCACTGCAAGTTGTTGTGAAGCCTGGAATCCGACCAAATACTAGTTCAACTTCATCCCATCCAAACAAATTACTGTGAAACCTAGACCCGACCAGAAAACAGTTGATTCAATTTACTGTAAAGCCTGAACCCGACCATATAATAGTTAATTCAATTTACTGTAAAGCCTGGACCCGACCAGAAAACAGTTTGAGTTGCTGAAACCTGGACCCGACCAGATAACATTAAATCTCAATTTTAAGTTACTAAAGCCTGGACCTGATCGGATAATAGTTTAACTTCTTTAGTTACTGCAAAGCCTGGATCTGACCAGAAAACAGTTTGAGTTGCTGAAACCTAGACCCGACCAGATAACAGTAAATCTCAATTTTAAGTTACTAAAGCCTAGACCCGACCGGAAAATAGTTTAACTTCTTCAATTACTACAGAGCCTGGACCTGACCAGAACACAGTTTGAGTTGTTGAAACCTGAACCTGAGCAGATAATAGTAAATCTCAATTTTAAGTTACTAAAGCGTGAACCCAACCAGATAATAGTTTAACTTCTTCAATTGCTGAAACCTGGACCCAACCAGATAACAGTTCGAGTTGCTGAAACCTGGACCCGACCAGATGTCAGTTAACCTCAAGTTTAAGTTATTAAAGCCTGGAATTTGACCAGATAACAGTTAATTTCATCTTCAATAACTATGAAGCCTGGAATCTGACTAGATAACAGTTGATTCAATTTACTGTAAAGCCTGGAATCCTACCAGATAACAGTTTAAGTTGTTGCAAAGCCTGGAATCCGACCAGATAACAGTTTAACTTCTTCAATCATTGCAAAGCCTGAAATCCGACCAGATAAGAGTTGATTCAATTTAGTGCGAAGCCTGGAATCTGACCAGATAACAGTTTAAATTGCTGAAGCCTGGAATCCAACCAGATAACAGTTTACTTCAATTTCCTGTGAAGCCTAGAATCCGACCAGATAACAGTTTACTTCAATTTCCTGTGAAACCTGGAATCCTACCAGATAACAGCTAATTTCATCTAAGTTGTTGTGAAGCCTGGAATCCGACCAGATAACAGTTTAACTTCAATTTTCTACAAAGCCTGGAACCCGACCAGATAACAGTTTAACTTCAATTTTCTGCAAAGCCTGGAATCTG